GGACTGTGCTTCATGCCCTTCCCCTCCTGCCCTAACTCAGGTGTGCCGGACTCAAAAAGCAGACCTTTATGGAACAGCTGTCTTAAAAGGCAGTGTGCCTTTGGGATGAAACCTCTTAAGCACATGTGAGCAACACCCTCAGCATGTATGCATGACACATGCCCAGCCCCAGATTAACTGTTTTTTTTAAAGATAAAAATAACATGGACAGCTGCCAGTCACAGATAAGCATTTATAGCCTGGCAGACCTGGGTTTTGTCAGCTCGGGAGAGGATCTGCAGTTGACATACAGGAAGTGCTCTAGCAAAATTGTATCACTGCTGGGGATGGCTGGCTTGTCCCTGCATCCCACATGGATAGCTGTGTCATTCCAGTCTCTCAGAACCTCTGGTGCAAGGCAGGTGTCCCCTTTTACGTTCATACTTTTACTGTGTTTTCACAAAGGGCATCCTCCAGCAGTGGGTGTCCCTCTTAAAACTGCAGAATGATTGCCAGCATGATGCTGGCACTCGCACAATCTAGGGCTTATGCCAGCAGATTATGGCCCTTGTTAACTATGATTTGCTACTGCCAACCTTGCAGGTGTGGTCAGGCAGCTCTCTCCCCTCCCTGAGATGGCTGGCTACCAACCTGGATGCTGAGAGCTAGGGTGAAAGATCTTAAATTTACCAAAAGCTCCCGGGGCTGGGAAGAAGCTCTGGTGATGGGATCTCATAAATTGTGTGAGGGTTGGGCTTGGTATCTGAGACCTTGGAAACCAAGCCTGAAACGGTGACTGCTTGTATATTTTCTTGCCGTCTAGGGCTGGCACCTGAAACTCCCAGGCCCTCCAGGATGGAAGCAGTGACAGCGATGGAGCACTTCTCTGACTGGAGGGAATACAGGAGGTGATGGAAGGAGGAGATGGCTAACTCAGCCCATGAGCCACAGCTGCAGCGCTGTCGAGACAGTGCACACAAAGTGATTCTTGGACTGCTTTCTGAAGAGGTGGACCATGTCATCCTGGGTGTTAATACCAAGGAGTCCTCCTATCTGGAGTCCAGGATCAGGGCCCAGTGCTCAGCAGTCCAGCTCTGTTCTCTTGCAGAGGTTGAGTCCATTGCAGCTGCTTAGCAGCTCTCCATTCTAGTGTGAGCAATAGGCCCCCTGCCACAGCTTCATGGCTCATAAGAAAAATGGTTTCTAGGCGCCAGGCTGATCTGACCCTATCATTTTGCAAGCTGGCCTTCTTTCCTGTTACTCCAATATACATGGACCCTGGATTTGGACTGGAGGGGTGTGGATCATGTATTCTCACTCCATGCTTCAGTCCTAGCCAGCACAGAGATTGAAAGTTTCTCCTTTGCACTAACGTTTTTCCTGTAATCTTAGAGTTTCCTTCCCTCCTTCCTCACATTTGCTGTTTTGCACTTGCTTAAGCCCAAATTCTGAATCTGTTCCCATGTTCCCTGTTTGGTTTTGCGCCTGTTCTTAAATAAACTCTTTATCGGGGGGTTTAAAAGCTTCATTACTCATTTTATCCAGTAAATACAGAAGTTGGTTGAGTGGTGGTGTTCCTGCGTGACAGTTCATTGCATGTACAATCAGGCAAGCCAAGCGCATCTGCCCTGCTGACACCTGAAGGGGCCACCTGCACAGCAGACACTAGTTTGGTGAGATGCGAGATACCAGTACATGCACAACACAGCCACAAGAGAAGTGGAAAAAATGAAGATGTCCACATAGAGAGCCCATAGGCCTGCCTCTGCTTGCAGTCAAATGAAATGCTCAGAGCAGCTGGGCTATGTGGAGTGCAGAAAAAGTGGCCAAATGCGACTCCAAAAGAATGAGGACTGGAAGCATTTTCCTTGCATTCAATTTCTTAGTGAGGCTGGGGCACCCCAGCGTGGAAAGTTGGTAGCAAACGTGTGGGAGCTCATGTGTGTGAATGCACGCATACGTGCCACGCACGTGCGCTGCTCACATACTTCCTCAAACTACCAACCGGAGCCTCCTGCGTGACGTCTCCTTGCTGACTGTCAAACTAGTCAGCATTCTGGTTGCTTGAGCTGCTGTGCCCACCTCTGCATCTGCAGTCACGTACTTGCTCAGGCCCTTGCTCTTGCAGATGTTGTGCGAGACCGAGCAGATGGTTAAAATCCTGGACAGGGACTGGCTCCGTGCCACCTAGGCTTCAGTCACCTGAAGGTGCATTCAGCCATTATCCTGCAGCTGCTTAGTCTGTAGTTAAAACAGTTCCTTTCTGCTTCATTTAAGGCTTCATAAGCAATGGTAGCATCAGATAGGTAGGATCACTGAATATGATTGGCATACATGTGGGTGAGTGGATGGGAAGGCAGTTGCAGCATTTATTTGTTCTGTGAGTTCTAGCAAACCCATCTCATCCAAAATTGGGGAAATCAAGGGGGGATTGTTAAAAGCTGTAGCATTGTGTTCTTTCGAGACCACTTTGCATTAATGTGGGTTAACCCCCTGCATTACTGGGAGGTCTGGTCAACCAAAATGGAGAAAAGCCTGGTGATCTGGCAGTGGTGGGGAGGGAGCAGGTTTGGGATATCAAGATGAGATGCGTCCATGCTGCCACTGTCGCAGTTAACTATAGATCTCCCAGAAGGAAATTGCTGTGAGGAATCTTGACAGCTTGGAGCCTTCTAGGCCCCTTTCTCCAAAGGTCCTGCCTTGCTCTATCTCAGCTATCCTGCGAGGTAGCACCACAAAGGACAATTGGATACCAGTGTCGCTGGCTATTGTTAAAACTTGTGGCAGCTGTTGCCTTCTCCTTACTTTAATTTGTGGCAGCTTAGCACAGCCTGCTTGTCCGTGCGCAGCTGCCATGATGCTGTTTGCTCCAGGTGCATGCCTCTGGCTTTGCTTTTCACGGCTTACTCATTCCTGTGTTCATAGTTTAGGATACTGTGAATGGGAGGCATTGTGGAAAGATCTAAGGTAGAACTCAAAGGAGCACCAGTGTGTGGTGGCCGATCGTGTATTTCCAAAGCTACCTTAATTGAAGGTGCTTCCTTTCCTGAGAAATTCGGGTAGCAAAAGTCTTGATTGAAGGCAGCAGCTTGGTTGCCTTTAAGTCTTTCCGAGCTTTGTAGGATGAATAACTTCTGTTTGAAATGTGACTTCTGGCTATAGTCTTCTTAAAGCTGCGATACGTAGTTTCCTGGACTTTTTACATACATGCGAGTACAATTAATTGCTGCCCAGATCCCGTTACTCTGGATTGATAAACCATAGAAAACATTGAATTTCTTTCATTTAACTTGCGTGTGCATGCTTCTTGGATCTGCTTCTTTGGAATGATCCCATTAAAGTTGGTATGTTTTCAGGAAAATAGTATTTAATGATGCTTGTATAAGTGGCTATAACTGTTCTAGCAAGCAATTTAAAAAGTGCTTATGGATGCTTCAACTGGTGCAAATTCTGTTAGAGGCTTTCCAGAAGAGGGTGCCAAAAATGTTAACATTGCTTGTGCTGCTGGCTGCCACTCAAGGATGTAACGTGCAACCTGTCAGTCCAGATTGTTGGACCTGAGTGATTGGAAAGCCATTTAAAGGTAAAGTCTTGGCTTTTGGGCTGAGCAAACAAGAGGCTTTCAGTATATCATAGAAAATGAGGGTTGGAAAGGACCTCAGGAGGTCACATCTAGTCCAACCCCCTGCTCAAAGTAGGACCTCCCCAACTAGATCATTCCAGCCAAGGTTTTGTCTACCCGGGTCTTGAAAACCTCCGAGGATGGAAATGCCACCACCTCTCCGAGTACCCCTATTCCAGTGCTTTATTACCCCCCTCGAGAGAGAGTTTTTCCTAATATCCAACCTAAACTTCACTGGCTGCCACTGTAGAGCGTTGCTCCTTGTTCTGTCATCTGCCCCCACTGAACAGTTTAGCTCCAAACGTGGCAGCGTTCTTTGTCACATTTTAGTTAGTTGAATGGAGTGAGGCAAATGTGTGGTGTCTGAGGTTTTGGGGGTGGGATTTATCACAGAACGGATAGGTGACTGATGAAATCTGCACTGCGTTCATGGCTGTTTGAGGATCTTAAACTATGACATGCCATTCACTTATAAATATTGTTGTAACTGCATGCGCGACTTCCCAATCAATTTGTAGTTGGGCAACGGGGGACCTCAAAGCACAATCTGTCATCAGTGTTAGGATATTATAATGGGAGAGACAAAGACAAGAGGATTAGATTCTTCCTTCTGTTAAATAAATTTGTATTTTATTAGGAAAAGAATCCCAAAGACTGTCTATTATTCTGATACCTGCAAGCAACTCTGGCTGATGTGCCCATGACCCCCTTGTGGTGTGAACTCATTAGATCCTGAAAGCTTTCTAGGGTCAAATTTAGTTCTGTTTTGGAGAAGAAGCTTTCTTAACAAGTACTTGGGAGCTGCAGCAAGCGGGACATGATTCTATCTGCTTTGTGGGGCATTGTGCTAGAAATATAGGGGCATAGGCCTGGAAGGGGCCTCCTGAGATCAAGTGTAAAATCTGAAATTCGGGCTACTTGGTAAAGCTTTTATTGTCCTTGTTTTGAGAAGAAGGGTTGTAAACCTTGAGTCTCGGTCAGATTTGTGCTCTAGAAACCTCCCTCCTGCCTACCCTGGAGTCTTTTCAATTGCATTTGATTATGTTTTTAGTTAGTTCTTGGTATAAAATGGTGTTTATTCTAAAAACTGAGATTCCACCCCAGACATGTCTGTATGTTGGCAATAGCTATGAAATGGTCCTTGCCCTTGGTTCTGCAAAGAACTCTGAAGAGCTTTTGTGGGGGTGGGAGAAAGTTGCTACATCTGCAGCGTCTGAAACTATAAAATTTATCACGGAATTAATTTGAGTTATTTATAAACATGTAAAATACAGGACAACCTGAAATAATTTTCAAAGTCACTTTTTGACTTTGAGAACTGCAGGGCGGGGGAGAAGCTTGGGATTATGAGAGTATTCTGAGTAATAACGTTTCCTCTCTTTTTCTTTTTTCTTTCAAGAGCCTTTTTAAAACACTGGGGTTATTGGAGTGGTCGAATTTTTCCTGGATTTGAGTGAGAAATTCAGAAGACTGAAGCCCAGGCTCACTGTCTACCTTTCACGGAGGCCCAGCCGTGAGAGGACAGAAGAAGGCACGTGGCGAATCATGACAGCTGACAAAGAAAAAGACAAAGACAAAGAGAAGGACAGAGACAGAGACCGGGACAAGGAGCGAGACAAAAGAGACAAAGCGAGAGAGAGCGAGAACTCGCGTCCTCGTCGGAGCTGTACTTTGGAAGGAGGCGCCAAGAATTATGCCGAGAGCGACCACAGTGAAGACGAGGACAACGATAACAACAGCGCTACCACAGAGGAGTCTACAAAGAAAAATAAAAAGAAACCACCGAAGAAGAAATCTCGCTACGAGAGAACGGACAACGGTGAGATAACGTCCTTCATCACAGAGGATGATGTTGTGTACAGGCCTGGAGGTAAGGAGCTCTAAACACGTGCTAGTTCGGATTGTAGTTGCATAGCCCCCTACCGTGTCTCAGCTGCAGTGTCCGTGGTGGTCCTAGAAGGGAGGGTGTGCAGTCTCCAGTGGACACAGGCAAACTTTCTTGTCACGTGCTTTCCAGATCTCTCTCAATTCTGATTGGGGGTGAACTTAAGTCCTATTCTTAAGAAAAATACCCCTTTTCCTTACCATTATGTTGTCTTATTCTGTATCGGTGCGCTCTCTCTGCTTTTCCCGTCTTTTTTTATTTTGCATCCTCAGTTCACATCTCCACTCCTTCTTGGCTGTCCTTTCCATCCAGTTCCTTCTACTCCTGTCTGTAACTGGCCACAGTCTACAATGTCAGGCTTGCGAAGGGAGTTAAGATTCGCTTGGGCCTGGCCTCGCTATAGTGGAATACGTTATTCTGCAGTCATGCTCCTTGTGGGTACTGCTCTTGAACAAAGGTGGCTTCACTTCCAGAAACTTCAGCCTGCACTGTAAACGAATTAATTACTCCCAGTGCTCCTTCCATGCAGACTGGCCTTGAGCTGTGTGCCTTGGGACTGCCAGGCTCCGTGTCGCAGCTCCAGAGCGGGGACAAGAAAATCTGATGGCTTCTCCAACTGCGGTTCTACGGGCTTCCAGCTTCCCTGCTCTGGAGCTGGGAGCTGAGCCCCAGCTGAGTTGGCAGTATGTAAGGACTCCTTTGAGAGACATGAGATCATTTGCCAGAGTCTGTGACTGAGTCCGATTACCGCTGTTCGTATTACTTGCTTTCAAAGCTCCATTGCCAACTTCACAAGCCATCTTCATGGGAGGAGGTGTTTATAGCTGAGACTGCTCTAGGCAGTGAACTGCAAGTCAAGGGATCTGGGAGCCTAGTCCTCATAATGCCATTGGCTTGTTTTCCTGACAGACTTGATCACATAATATTTCATGTAGTTTACCCATTGATTAAAGCAAGTCATATGTGCTGGCCTTCCTGGAGCTCTCTGGCTTTCAGTGAAAAGCTGTATATTCTCACTATAAATATTTGTTCCGTGTGAAAACATTGATATCTTACCAAGGTTGTTTCAGGGCACAGTAGTAGGGGGTAAATGTCATTGTACCCTGGGTATCTTTTGATGTGCCAGTTATGTGAAATCCTGCAGTGATTAAACTAAGTTAGCTTTTTTCAGGGTTTAATTTTTTTCAAAAATTAGCCCTCCCTGAGGACCCTCCCGCTGTGCCCATTGTCAGTTGATCACTACACAGAAATTCCCCAGGAAAGTGGTTTGTGGTGGTGGTGTTTTTTTGTTTTATTCTGGTTGCCATCTTCATTTTGAATAATAATTTCTATTTGGGGGTAAAAGAATTGTGAAATCTTGACTGCATGAGTAATTGCAGTTGTTTGTTTCACCATAAGGGGTATTTATTCTTGTCTCTGCTATCAAAAGGATTAGCTTCGGGGCTCCACTATTTTTATCCTGCTCTTCTGTAAAATCGGCAGCATGCTATACTACAGTAACACTGCTGGAGCAAAACAGAAACTGACTCCAAAGGAAAACAGTGGAAGCTAATGATGGGACGCCTGTGTAATTTTCTAATGGTCTGTTGCATTTCTAGAGTACTAAAGCTTTATGTGGAAGCTGGTGAAACAGCTGTAAATAGTGTACAATGTTGGTACTCTTTTTCTAACCTGTCAGTCATCTGTTTCTTTTGGTTGCTGCAGTGTGTGTGGCCAGTTGGGTTGTGCGAAGTTTTGGTCCCCGATTTGATTCGGTGGCGATTCGGCCTGTTTCGGTGGCCGAATCTCCGAATCTGAATCGAATCAGAGGACCCTTTAATCTCTCTGAATCGAATTGCAACCCTCCAAATTGATTCGGCGATTCGGACATGGACACAGCTTTAAATGTTTTTTCTACATACCTCTAGGTAGCAGGGGCTTGTGAGTGCTATGGTGCTGGGGAGCATGGAGTGTCCCACGGAGGCGTGGGCGGCTCCCTAGTGCGCTCAGCAGCAGACCTGGAAGTGGACCAGAAGCACTTCCAGGTCCACCGGGGAGTGTGCAGGGGGGCTTCCTGCACCCCTCCCCACCAGCTTGGCGACTGGTGCCTCATGGGTCTGGGGGTGCTCCCAGGGTCCCCCTGCAGCCAGTGACTGAGCCGGGGTGGGGTGGGGCAGCCCTCTCCCTGGCAGCCCGGGAAGTGGACCAGAAATACTTCCAGGTTCTCTGCCAAGCACATGGGTGGGGGGGGGCCCACGCTCCTGTGGGACGCTCCATACGCCCCAGCATCGCAGCATTCACAAACTGTGCTGGTACCTCAAGGTATGTAGTTTTTTCACATTTAAAGCTGCGTCTGTCTGAATCGCTGATTTTCCAAATCAGCATCGAATCTTCAGAATCAATTAATCGAATCATAGTCCCTGATTTGGGCTGAATCCGAATCGAATAGTGCCTGCTTCACACACCCCTACTGACCAACTCCCAGATGAGTGGGGTGCGATGGTGTTTTTTTGCCTTGTGTATAATTGAGTCAAAGTGTTTAAATAATGGTGGGTTCTTTTGGAGGTAAAGTTTTAAGTTGTTTTTTTCTTTTATTCTCTCTTCTATACAAAAAAAAATAATCTTGTTTTTATATAGATGCATCAACTTATCTCCAAGAAGCACACCTCAGACGTGCCAAATTGAAAATATTTATTACGCTGTTTGCTTCTCAATAGTCAGGACTTTAAATTACGAAATATATGAGCAGTGGAGGAGCACAAGTAGTGAATCCACAGAATTCAGCTTTGGGGTAGCTTAACTCCAATGTCAGTGGATTGGGAACACTTATGGTATATTAAGCACAGCTTTTGTGTGGGTTTTGTGGTGAAGTGCTTTAATGCACTGGCTTTTCATTGCTGAGTGACCTGGCTTAAAATGGAGGTAGAAAATCAGTTTGTTTTGTTGTCTTAGTAGTTCATATAATAGAACTGGGAAAAAATAGGACACTGTAGGTGCCTTCCACTGAAAGTATCAGTCTGATTTTTGGGTAGACATGTTTTGGCAGGAAAGCAGAATTTAGTACAAAAATGCCTGCGTTGTGTCTGGGTCCAGTGATCATCAATCTGATTTTCTGACTAATTCTCAAAAAGAAAGTGCTTTATACTCTGTCTGCTGGTGAGGGTGCGGGGGAGCAGGCATAGGGGAAGAGGAAGTTGCTGGCAAACAAGCTTCCTTTGAATTTTTTAGGCTGACAGTTTTAAATAGCTCCTTTTAGATGCAAGTCCCAAGCTATATACACACAACTGTTAGTTTTGTGTATGCATCCTGCATATTCTATAAATATTTGTTGTGCTCCCTTAAACAGCTGCTGCTTGCAGCCGCTATTGGGGTATAAAGTTGCAGCTCTTGAATAGGGGACTCCAGCATCCTCCACCAGTTAGATGGGTCTTTTTCCATTCTAGTGCAGGAGGATTTTTTTATATCCAGTTTTTTAGTGCCTGTTGCTTTCAAAGGAAGTTTTTTTTTTTTTTTTTTCATTTCAGAGAAGCCATAGGAATGTAATGAATTTAGGAAAAGCATTATTTTGAACTCGCACCTCAGTATTCACCAGAGAATCCACACTGGAGCAAGAAGCCTATAAAGGCTGTGAATGTGGGAAAAGCATCAGCGATTGCTCATGCTTTATACGCTGCAGGAGAATCTACTTGGAAGAGAAATCTTATTTATGTTTGGCATGTAGCAAAAGCTTCAGTTAGGGCTTGTACCTTCTTATTCATCAGAGATCACACAGTGGGGAGAAATGCTATTTATGTACCAAGTGTGGGAAAAGCTTCAATCATGGCACAGACCTTTTCGAATCATCAGAGAACCCACACGCAGTGAGAACTGTCAGCTCTGGCCAAGCATCAGTCAGACCTTATTAGCCACCTGGGAGCACACATGGTTGACAATGTTGGAGAACAGTCTGCTCATACAAATAATAAAAAAAAACAACCCTTAATTGAACATTATTTTAGGAGGTGGCTGTTGGAAAACAAGTTCTAAGGGAGTTGAGTGCTTGGGACAGCAATTACTTTTTAGATTGTGATTATCTGAAAAAAGATGCATGGTCCGGCAAAAGGTGCGGAGTCAGGGAAACCACCTTGGAAGCAGCCTCCACCATGTCGGTGTGGGCAAGTTAACTGAAACCCTTTGTGCCCATTTCCTGTGTAGGATAAGTGCTGTACCAGCCAAACCTTCCAGGGAGGTTATGAAGCTTATTTTGGTTGCTCTGAGATTACTTGATGAAAGGCGACCCAGAAGAATGTAGCTGTAAGATTATGTAAGAGATTATTCTGTTTTGTAATGTGAATAGCACAAGTTGAACAAAGTCTGCTTTTCAGTAATTAAAATAAAACACAGCTCCTAATGATCACATTCCGATGACTTGTCTTTTTTGCCCCTTTAGTCATCTCTCTCTGTGTCTCTCTTGTTTGCTTCAATGACGCTTTTGGATAGCAGTAAAAATTCAGACCACTAGAAATCCCCTTGCTGAAGAAGCATGAGCTTAGCTACCCTCTTCAAAGCTGATTAGCCGTCTGCAAGATATTATAAATAACGTCTTAACTGGATTGTCGCATCTTAAATGATATATTTCCAGCGCTTACTGTATGGTCACAAAGAAGGTTAAGTGCAAATTAAGATTTTATTTGGTAGCTTCTGACTTGCATAAGAGTTAAACATAGTTGGGCAAATTCATAGGCATTTGGGCTGCTTGTGGCAAGTGCACCGTTGTATTGTGCTGCCTTGCCCAGTGAGAGGTGTTGAGCTACCTTGCACTTCCAGGATAGAAACAGATGCCGGTAGTTATGGCACAACAGCTACACTATAGTATGTCCGTGAATAAACCTCACAGTAACTCATTTGGGTGCTCATACCCTTCCACAGTAAGTAGTGCATCACAAGGGTATAAATTATGTGGGTGGCCTCTTTTAATGTGCATCTTCAAACTTAAACCTCCTGTTAGTTGCTTTTCAGGAAAGCAG